TACTGTAGTTCATTTTTCATCAAGCCTGATTAAAAATTCTATAGGTTTATTTGGAGATCGTGAGGTCTAGTGTGTGATGTTTTAGAAAAACATTTTCTTTATCTTGCCAACGGTTCGATCTTTATTGAGATCATCTCCAGAGGCTGGGATTTATAAACATTGCTTGAATTTTACAAATACGTGTAGGATGTGGAGAAAATATTAGAATTCATACAGTGCTAGATAATTTTAGATTAAAAAAATGAATTGATACAATGCTAGAAAATGTTAGATTTAAAAAGGAATGAGTTTATAAAATGCTAGAAAATTTTTGATTCAATCGAAGTATTCGTACTCACTCAAAGTGTTTGTTTTCCGTGTAGATGTGTCATTCTTGTTGAGTCGTGTTGAGAGTGCCAGTGAGATATTGCTCTTTTATGTTTATATATGTTGAATTTTTAACGGGTGGGGAAGGAAGTCGGGATAGAAAGACATTTTTATATGAGGAGTCCGAATCCACCACCTAAAAGAAACCGACATGGGACAAAAGCGTAATGGTTCGGCCTGATTATCTTTCGGGATTATATAGACGGGGACAATTAGGAAAAGGAAAAACAAATTGTTGAAGAATTAGAAGAAATGTTTGATGTGTGGAATGTGACAAATTGTATGGGTGTTTTCTAGGGTATGCCCTCATTGTTAATTCTGGTATCAGTAAAAACTTTCTTTTGTGGTTTAATTAAATCAATAATCTATTAATACTTATTATTAAAAGCTACAACTTCAGCAGGTCCTTCTAAACGCCACTTAGCTGCTTTTAAGAGAATCCAGTGATTCCTTTCTCTTTCATTGCAGCAGCTACCGTACTACATGTTGCAGTACAATGGCGTAATTTGTAGGGCGTTCCATCATACTTGGGCACAATTTTAGGATTTCATGCAGTAGAGGTTTAGAAAAAGGCATTTTTTCGGTTAATTGAAGGACGGGAGGTTTTAAAATGAATTAGATCGAGATAAAACGAAAGTATCATAGTAAGTCAATGTTCCGGTACTTCTGGTTCTTCTTCAGTTGACGTAGAAATAGTCCTTCTACTTTAGACTGAAGAAATCCTCTGGAATGTACGTCTTTCTTAGGCCGGAGTATTTCGATCTCCTTCTCAAGCTTGACGTTTCAAAGTATGTCAAATTAGTGTTCTTCTCTGGTTGACAGCGGATTAAGAGCTTCAACTCAGAAACGATTTTTTCTGCAGGAAATAGATCGCGACAAATGATCGTGATAATGTGAGGTGATTAGTGACCGTTAATCGATATTTATTTAGAAATCGTGAGATGCGGTCTGGTGTGATGTAGGTTTCAGAATAGGGCACTCTCGACACGACACGCAAGAATGACACAATTACACAGAAGACAAACACTTTGAGCCCTGAAGATGATCTCAATAATGGTCGAAACGTTGGCACGATAAAGAAAATGTTTTTCTGAAACCTACATCACACCAGACCGCATCTCACGATTTCTAAATAAAGATCGTGATAATAATAGGTGAGTTTTACCTATATTATTTATCTAATATATCTATTTATTTATCTATATTATTTATCATCTATAATTTAAGAACTTCTGCTGTTTGTTTGTTCGAGCGCCAGTTATAGAAAGATTTTATTAACTTTAAAACATACAATAGGAGAATCAGGTCAGGTGTTGAGACTCGCACGACGAATGACGAGCGCCCGAAGCCGGACTGAAGAGAGCAGGAAAGGAAAAGCACGTGTCATATAGGGTGCTAATGCAGAGTAGCTTGATGCAGTTCCTTCGATTTTTAACTAAGGACAGCAGTAACGGCCATGATGGAGTCGGTGCAGATCAGATAAGCAAAGTGCGTAGCGCTTACCAAATAGCATACAATTCAGCCTGTAAAGCTAAAGTGCTGTAGGAGCGACCAGTACCCGCAATACCCGGCGCACGCCACACTCTCGTATGTCGTAGACTCATTTCGGCGGTACATGTAGTAAAATTGATGTTTCTATAGATAATGTGTATTCATTTACTTGTTTATTATACAGTAAAAATATGAATAGAAACACATAATGTTTTACTTACTGTACTGCCCATAAGTATTTTCATTCAAATTTTTCTATTGGGTATCATCTACATATCTTCCACACTTATTCGTTGGATAAAACTAGACACTAGGAGCTATCATTTATTATTATTGTTGTTGTTCTTATTTTATTTATCGCAAATAGTGGACTCTTTTCTTATTTTAATGAAAATTTATAAAAATGTGTTCGTACAATTTTTATAACTTTTTAAAATATTTTGTTTTTATAGATAGTTCATGAATGATACTAGTGTTTCAACATGTTTTCATGTATATATGTGTATGTTATGCATAAAAAATATTAATGAAAATACACAGACAGTCTACTTTCATTGCATCTAAAAAGTTTATACCGTATTTTATTTGAAATTTTGCTCCATTCAGTATCATCAATAGATCAAGCGCCCTTATTCGTTGCAAGAAAACAGATACCCGGTGTTTCCATTTCTAGTTAGTGACATTCAACAGACCTTTTTTCTTTCTTATTTCTTCCAACTGTTGGATTATGTATCTTATTTTACTATAAACGAATAAAAAATCATGAAGGATGTAACTAGTGTTTTTATAAGTTATGTGTCTACACAGTGATTATATAGCCAAAATAGAAGCCCTATGTAGCACCCAAGGTGCCTTTCTTGCTATTGCATCTGTACGGTCCCAGCTTATTATTTTACGAGTTTATAGTTGATGATGGGTTTAGGTCTGCGAGTCGGTGAACTCATGTTGAAACGGCACGATCACTTACTGGGTCTGTCTCCAATCGCGTATTTTTGATTTACTCATGCGTTTCGGCATTGCACCATCTTCAGCGAAGAGCTAGCGAGATTATTCCAGAGGGCTCAAAAATCCGCGAGTGGAGACAGACGCAATAAGTCACCCCGTGCCGGTTCAACGCGAGTTTACACTTATACGCCATCATCTGACGAATCTACGTTGTATATTCCATATATATAAACTATCTAATTTATTATAATTGTCATTCGGCGTAAAGCTTAATAGGTCATTTCTTCCAACTCATGTACTCTTTCTCTTATTTACAGTAAAACGAAAGGAAAAGCGTTACTAAAAGTTATATGTTTGGTGTGGACACACGAAGAATGTAATTAGTAGGGGTATTCACGATGGTCGTAAGATGTTAACTCGAGTTAACTCGAATAGAGAAATGTCAAGTAAGATAGGAAAGCCCCCTTCTTTCCTTAGCATGTTAAAAGTTAATTTTTACGCAATGCTGCGCGTGGCGATTGGTAGACCAAAAATAAAACCATAACAGTCCTTGAAGGCTAGTTGTTGTTTGTTTTAGTTTTCTTTTGTGCTAAATTGTAAGATGCTAGAAGTTAATAAAAAAGGAAAATTAATCAACTCTTTCATTCAAAATGCTATCTATACACTTGAAAAGTACTAACAAATAACACGCTTAAATTCGTTCCGACATGCCTAACTTGTATCCTAAGTTCTAGCAGCCTACAACTTTATAGTATAGGGGATGTATCTATTATGAATGAGAGTATAAGGACAGGTCAGAAATTAAGAAAAGAAATGTATTGGACTGATTTAATTAATGCGTATTTGAGAATAAAAATCCGTGTAAACTAAAAACAGCTGTTAAATTCATGGCTGCCATGTTGGTTACCTACGCCCTAACGGATGCAAAGTGACTACTTTTTCGACCTAACATCTAACATTAGCCCCGGCCTGTTATATCGAGAAATGTTAACTAGCCGATTCTAACAACTCTACGTCATCATTTTTCTCGATCTAACAGGACCTAACAGAGTTAGGAGGGTTAACACAAAGATGGTGAATACCCCTTTTGTTTAAACACGTTTACAATTGGAATGTTACTCACATGTTTTACTTACTTTCAATTGCATCTTTAAACCTAGACGTACAGTCTTTACGTGAATTTTGTTCAATGTAGTATCATCTCGATAATCTAGCACGTTTATTCTCTCAAAGAAATTAGGCAGACATTTGCCGTTTTCATTAATTATTAGTGTAAATAAATAATTCGAGGTACCTACAGATTTTCACATTCAATTGCATCTATACAGTCAATATTTGTCAATACTCGTCTATCACATGTAACCATCAAATTTTCTATGTGGGTTTTTATATTTTGTTAATCATAAAACACTAATTATAGTTCTATTAGGTTTCGTGGTCCGATCGACCAAATAAATTCTTTTCAATTAATTAATCTTTATGTAAGGTTTTGGCTGAGATAAAAAAGTCAGTTTCACGAGCAGGATTTGGTGAGCACTTGAGCTATCGTGACTTCGATCTGAAAAATGACAAAAAGGAGAAAGATTCAAAACGTGGGGTTTTGATGGGAAGTTGGTGTCCGAGTGGATCGAAGTCACGATAGCTCTAGTGGTAGAGTAGCGGCGTATTTAGCCGAAGGTCGTGGGTTCGAATCCTGCTCGTAACACTGACTTTTCTATCTCAACCAATACCTTTCTTAATGATTAATTAATTGAAATTAATTATAGTCCGTTAGTTCACGAAAGCTCGAAGAAGTAATTGAGGATTTTTATCTTTATTAGTGTCACGGCTGCATGTTTTTTTTAATATATAATTATGATTTTGTAAGGTTGTGTGTATGACGATATAATTTTTGCAGGGTTAAGAAGGGGATGAGAAAAAAATTGGTTGACTAAACAAATATGTATTATAGGAGGAAGGATGCAACGATGGAATGAATTGCGCAGGGCGGACCGCCCTATGCAGGTTGCACATGCACCAAGACTAGGCGCATGTCGCCGATTGGGATTCTCCGTCAATTTTTTCCTATTTTCTTTTTTCTAACGAAGCGGTTTTGAAAAGCCAAGGGTGAGCGCAGGCGCCGTTCGTCCCTCTTGTGTTCGTTAGTTCGATCAGCGGCCTAGCTCTATGCCTTCAGTCGACTGTTGGGTCTCGTGCTGTACACAAATCCGACAGAGTCAATCGCCTCGTACCCCCTGTTGCTATCTCGTGAAAACAGTTTTTCGCGGACTATTTTTTAAGTTTGTCCATATACGATACGACCCGCTTGTCGTTGACGACTTTCCTACAAGTTTATCATTTCTCTGTCGGTTTTTCATTGTTAAAAACAAATTTGATTAAGAGAGATTCTTCGAAGTTCTCAAAATCAGACCGGTCGAAGAAGACAACCCGTTCCTCCTTAAGATACTCCGAATCTCCTCTTCCATCTGGCCGGTAAGTCGGCTATTGTTTCAACAAATTAGAATACCAAAATAAATAAAAATATATGAAATACCCTATGAGACATCCTTTCCAAATATAAATTATACAATTGTTTTTATATGTCGCCTTTTATGAGGCGAAGGAAGGAAATGATTGATGTTCACTCTCGAGTTTACACGTGTCACGTGTTCAACCCGCTTGGCGTTGCTAACCTGCAGAGCGAATGTTCAGCCAATATTCCTTACTCTTTCCTCGTCGAAGACAATTTCATTCCCTATGTCAAACCTCATAATTCAAACCATTTTCCAATCAATCAGGCCGTTTCGTTGCAAAGCAACTAAGGAACAACGAAACAGCTGCACCAATAACTTCTCAACTTTAATATATATCAAAAGAATTTTCTGGAACAATACTGAAAGTATTATTGGCACTTTGGGATTTTCAGTATCGGTCGCAGTTTTCTTTCTTATTTTTCCCGCTTATTCTCGTTGGAACTCGGTTGTTGCCCTGGGGCCGACAAGCTATAAATTGTTTTCCCTCCGTGCTTGTTTACCCTGTGCAAAATTTATCGTCAGAACGGCACGTGCATAGCTTGGCATCGTCTGAAAGAATCTTCGAAAAGAAAACGCGTTCTGTTGATTCTGGCTGATATAAAATCGAGCTAAATTTAGACTATCCAAAGGTCGGCGGAGGTAGGAAGCATGAGAAGATATGACTGTTTAAGAGGAATTAAACAACAACCAAGTTGGCCTTCGTTATCTCAACATAAGGCGAGGAATACACACAAAGTAACTTAGCGTCTTCCACTATCCTGGATTTCGTTATCCAACTTCTCCAAAACGTGTCAACCTTTTAATGTCTTGTTTTACCGGATATCCCTTCCTTTCGGATTTGACGGCCCTATCAAACAAGCATCGCTATATAAACTTAACCTGGATTATTATCCGTTTCTCTCGAGTATAAAATCAGATTGTATAAATGCGTTTAACTGAAAGCATCGAGGTAGCGTGATGTCATATATTATATGCTTAATCATCTGGCCTGAAAACACCTTAGTAGCGTGATTTAGCCGCCGCTCAATTAGCTGGGATTTTTTTTTCATTTAACTTTTTTACGACAACGATCCAATTTTTATTTCTAAACAAACAATAGAATTTTTATTGGAAGACCTTTTGTGTACACTTCAAAACCTGAACATTTGTAAATTTATCATTTTAACCGAGTTTTGACACTTTTCAGTCAAATATCTTGCAAATTTGAATTATCGTTGCTTAAATCGTAGACGTTTATTCAACGATAAACCGTGCCAGGTTCTTTTAGTAGTAAATAAACGAATCAACTTCTTCTCTTATATTATGTGCTGTTGCATAAATTTAACATTAAAGGGGGGAAAATGCAATAAGTGAAAACCACCGAGAATCATACCTTCCATCCCAAGGAAATAAAATATTTGTTATTTAATCCGCGACATCGGCACATAGTCGTCAATTATTGTAAGCAAGGAAAGTGATAAAGTATACAGGGTGTCACTTTAGAATATGTCCCCCCCCCCGGATTTCTCTTATAGAAATACCTCTTAATTTAGAAAAAATTAAACTCTATTTTCAGGATAAACATGGCTTAAACATTGCATTGTTTTCAATTTCGTAAAAAAAATTAACGGATTTATGTAAGGGTGACAATTTACGCACGATACCCTTTGATTCTCTTACAAACTGCTAAATCTCGCGGAAAAATGTATAAACAGTTGTTTAAAAAGAAATCTATATTACAAATTATAATAATTACGGGGTTTTCATTTTAGTAAAAAATTCAATAAATATATACAGGGTGTCAATTCACCAGCGTCATCCCCGCATTTAAAAAAATTCTCACTTTGTAAAAAATATTTAACAGTTTCAGTCTCAATTTACTAATAACGTTTAAACATTACAATATTTTTTTTCAATTTCATAAAAAAATTAAATAGATTTGTATACAGGGTGTACAGGGTTTGTCGTGGACCGTGGTGGCCTCGTGGTTAGGGTAGGTATTTGCCAATCTGGCCGTCTTGGGTTCGAAGCCCTCACAGCCTATGGTTTATTAATTGAGAATAGTAGGAAAGAAGCATTGAAAAAATTATTGGTTTGAGCGCTTGTCCGAGCCATGCAACGGATAGGATAGTTGGACGTTTACTCTCCCATATGCCAGGAATTACAGTTACTTATTATTTCAGTACATAACTTATGCGTGACACCACTTGGTTCTCCCAACATTTCTAAATCTAGCAGAAGAATATATATACGTTATTTAACAAAAATAAAAGAAGCTCTACATTCAGAAATTGTAATAATTATAGGTTTTTCAATTTAGTAAAAACGTTAATATTACAATTATAATAATCCTTATCTTAGTTTTTTTTTAAATTAACGGTTAGTTTAACAGTTTGCATTTATTTATTTATTTATTTTTTGATAAATTTGACATATACTGGGTGTCAACGTACAAGCGTCCATGTCACCTAACAAATAAATAAATAATAATGTAAATAAAATAAATAAACAGTGGTGACGATTTTTAAGAGTAAGTCTACTTTCTATTAGTGTAATAATTACGCCTTCTCAACAATTAATCAACCTAGTAAGAAAATGTAAACAGATTTTTGTGGATAAACTCAATATATAACATTACAATAATTCCAGCTGTTTTATAATTTAGTTATTCAGAAATCGTGAGATGCGGTCTGTTGTGATGTAGGTTTCAGGAAAACATTTTCTTTATCGTGCCATCGTTTCGATCTTTATTGAGATCATCTTCAGGGCCTGGGATTTACAAACAATGTTCAAATTTAACAAATAAATGTAGGATGTGGAAAAAAATGAATTCATACAATGCAAAAAAAAAATTTTTTATATTCAATCAAAGTATTTCTACACACTTGTTACTACTTGTTAAATTTAAACAATGTTTGTAAATCCCAGGCCCTGAAAATGATCTCCCTGAAGATAAAGATCGAAACATTGGCACGATAAAGAAAATGTTTTTCCGAAACCTACACCACACCAGACCGCATCTCACGATTTTTGAATAATTATGGACTAACGGTCACTAATCACCACACATTTATAATTTAGGAATGTACAACAGTGATAATAATATACAGGATGACAAATTACTAGAGGCACCCCTGGTTTTATCCAAGAATTGTCAGCCTAAGAAAAGAAAAAGAAGTTTTTTATGCTCAGCTTTTAAACATTACAATAATTTCTTGCTTCTTTCCAATTTGTTAAAAATCTTTCATAAATTTACACAGATTGTCAACTTACAAAGAACCCCAGCTTTTCACAATTGTGCTGAACCTATCCCAAAAATTTAAACACAATTTATTCAGTTTTGTAAACCTAAGCTTTTCTTTCAAATATTTCCATAATTACAGCTTTCTGTGCTTTTAAAGGTAATAAAATATACACAGTCGATTGACTAGTGTTAACCATTGTTTTACTATAAACTACTCAGATAAAAACAAATAATTTCCTCATATTATCCTAGTGTTTACAAGAAAATTTCCACGTTTCTCTTAGTAAACCTTATTTTCCTATTTAGCCATAAATAAATTCAAAATAATGATCTATACAGTTTACTGTATAAAAAATTGGGTTTCCACAACCATAAGGACGGGTTAGAATAATAGATTAAATTTTCGTTAAGAGAATTTTCTTCCTTTAAAATGTCAATTGCGGAAACGAAGTTTTCAGGATTATACTGTTGATAATTTATGTTCTAAACAGTTTAAATATTGAATATAGCAAAACCGTGTTAATATAGAAGCCAATAAAGAAAAAAATATAATATTATACAATTTTTAAATCTTGGAGTTATTATAAAATACAATTTATTTAAATATTTTATATATATATATATCTGTGACGATTGACATATTTATCTTAAGGAACGTCATAAGAGGGCGGAATCAATTGAAATTTTCATTTCATTTTTTTCTTTTCTACAAAAGAACAATCGCAACAGAAAATCGTAATCGGGACAAATTAATTCTTCCGTCAGATTTCAGCTCCATTGTCACGGGTAAATCATCGATTATTAGGTCTTTACATTTCAACCTGTGGAGCATTAACTCATTCATCCGTCGTCCATTCCTTTACACGTCGTTTCGCGGCTGGTGCTCAGGTTAATTTTACTTTTTTGAATATGACAAATTAGTTGGATTTATTACGGGCCGTGACTAATAACCGATCGTTCTGACTGAAAAATCGATAGGTAAAATAACTAATTATATTATTGGAAAATATGAGTTATGAACGTGCAATCTGGTGTCAATTTTTCAAATGTTTTCTTTCCAATCGATTCTATACAAACATTGTAATTTTCAAAATCTGAATTAGCAAACTTTTTTTAAACGATCGGATTCATATTTGTATTTTTACTGGGGTTAATAGAATTATTTGGATGACTGCACAAAGTTATATAAAATATATTGAAATATACAGAAACGAAAATACGTTTCCAGGAAAGCAGGCCAAAGAAATTTGCTTTTGGAAATAACAATTCTGATTCGTTTCATGTACCCTTTAAAGCAATTAAATTGAACTTTTGAAACAGAAAACAGCCATTTTTTGGGCTAGATATGCCTGGGCATTTTGTTTTCAGCCGATATCCTGAGTTCCATTTAAAAAAATTAAAATACCAACCGTATATATCCAAATTCGACGGTTTAACAACTGTAAAAGTTTCTAATATTGTTTATTTTTTAGGCCAGATCCATGTTTCTGTGGCATTTTTAGTGTGAAAAATAAAGGTATAATCAACAAAATCATCTTATACATGTTGTTTTATATCTCTAATTCTAAATTTTTTGTTGAGCACAGGTTTGTGTTATTACGCGCAGTTTTATTATCTTTTAAACCTATCTAAATTTATCTGCGGATTTAAAAAAAAAGCTGATGTTTTGTTGTTTTACCGTTCTTACCATTGGCCCTACGATCTGAAAAANGAAATGAATTATATAAGATATATTG